ATGTCAATGTGCACTTGGCTAAAATAAAGGTGTGTGTAGATAGTTGGGCTAAAGCTAGCTGCTAACAGCTAAAGCTCGTTGTGCACACGGTCAAGCGCACCGAACACACCGCTGCTGTCTCCCACTGGAACACGTCGCCCACCAGCGTTCACCAAGACTACTTTCAGTAAGTTCCCTTTGACTCAAGAAAGAGACCATTCTTGTAGGAATAATAACGTGTACACTATTAAGTTAACAATTCTAATGAAGCCAACTTGTTTTCGTCTATTTAAGGATCTATTTCACTGCAGCACCTGTTCTTTGATTAAGCTTGCTAACTGTTAGCTAAACTAATGCTAGCTGCTAATTAGCATATCAAACTATACTGTCTTTTGTTTTTAACTCTGCGTAATGGAAACTGGGTCGTGGCAACACTAGTATTCATCAATGTTTTAACTAGTGAATTAATGAGCTTTGGTCTAAAGTGACTTTCAGAAGCTGAAAACTGACCACATGGCGATAAGCGGCTAACTGACTGTTAACGACACGTCAGGACTCGGCTCCACGTTAGTTACCGTCACACTGTACTAGTTAATTCTCAGTTAAACTAGCATGCCAATGCAGTGCTTAAGTGGTAATATAATGAAGGTTAATAATGTCTCTTTCCTCAAACATAATTAGGCACATGTGTGCTGGTATCGTGGACACCGCTAACCTTGTTCGCCTTTGTTACAGCGCTTTTTCCCGTCGAGGTAGCGGGACTCGTAGTAATTAGTGCGCACTTATCCTGCTTTTACAGCGGCTTGTAACTTCAGTGTGGACTGCACGTGTAATGTAAACCACACGTCTCCTCTCCGTTGTGGCCGCAGTTTCTGTCTTCTGGGTGAGTTCCGTACACGGAGCACGGAGGGGTTTTCATCGTCGGTGTGAGACTAGGAAAGCATATACCGATACTCTTATAAAGACAATTGATATTGAAATGCGTCTGCTAGTTAAACGTGAAATGTATCGGCCTTAAAACGTTAGTTCGCATTGGACTGACGCGCACCACGTGTCCGGAAGTAAACAAGGCGACGCATTTGCAAACACACGTTTAACGTGAATGTCGCAAACAAAATTGTACCGGTGGTACATTGTCGCTATTTTACACTGTTGTTTTATTTGGGGTTAATAGATTTGTTGTTCAGTCCGCAAACCATCCGTGAGAGTGTCAGTGAGGGGAATGACTTCCTCATCTCCGACATGATGTCGCTATCGCTTCTCGGCCTTTTGGCTAAGATCAAGTGTAGTATCTGTTCTTATCAGTTTAATATCTGATACGTCCCCTACCCGGGGACCATATATTAAATTGATTTTTGGAATAGGGAGATGGAATAGGGGCTTGCTCCGTCCACTCCACGCATCGACCTGGTATTGCAGTACCTCCAGGAACGGTGCACCCCCCAAACGTGTCTAAAATAACTTCACCAGTAACAGTGTGCGTTGGTGTGATTGATACTTGATGCATTGGTAAACTTAAAGGCATCAGGACAGAATGTCAGTGGTTTTATTAAAGTTGAGACTGCAGAGAATAGATGAGGGAGATTGTTATTACCGTGATAGCACGGTAAGTGCTATCATCAAAAAGATTCATCTTCAATCCGTTGTCATTTCTTCAATTTGTCTGATCTGTATCTAATGTAACACACAACAATCAGTCATCATGGAGGTAATTGTTACAGGTACCAGGATTGGTACCAAGTAGATGATGTGATTCTGTAGACCGGACACACAAATGACACACAGCTCTTACACGTCTGTCATTGCGCCTCGCTCAGCAGAATGAGGAAACGTCACTCGTGACGTTGTGGTCGCAAATTCTTTCACTGCCGTAAAGCCAGTCTAAAGCTAAACAGCGCGCCACTCTGACCCCTGCTGGCTACAGGGTGGAATGTACATTCAATATAACAAGGTATTTCAGTTCTAGTTATAACATTTCTATACAATATACTGTTCACTTCAGACATTGACACACGTGTGTAAACACATTGGTGGGTGTCACATATCAATTAAGAACTTGACATGATTGTGTATCGATGAGAAACATGTAGTGCGATTACTACTCCAGACCAATAGGTGTCAGTGTGTCAGTACAGCACAAGCAGTAAACAAAAGAACAGGAAGTGGTTGAAATGAAAGAACGCATTTGTAATTTTATTCTTTCCTTTGAATTCCAGATGAGGAACAAATAACTTTTGATTGCAGTTTTGCTTTGTCTCATGTGAACCTTCTGTTGAATTGTCACTCATTTGTTGGAGATAAATAGATGCAGCTGGCGATTTTAGGTTGTCTTTTCTTTTGAAAATACAGCATTGCATCATGGGAAATGAGAGCATCGTTTATCCAGTAAAATGTATATTATCTTTGTCCCCCCTGGTGAAGTTCATGTAGACTTTACTCTACATGAACTTCTTGCAGGTTGTTGGAGCTCTTCTAGTGTGTGTTGTGTTTGTTGTTGCCGTGATGGTCGGCACCATCGGTCAGCTTGGTGTGTGTGTGAAAGACTGCCCTGACTCTGATGTGTACAACTCATACTTACCTGGCAAGGGAGATACCATGATCAAGAAGGTGGTTCACCCAGGGCGAGGCTTAGCCATTGCACTCCGGTTGAGCTGACCTCTGCGAATTCCCCAAATGTGGGAATCTCGATTGCATAATTTCTGGTAGTGGGGGACTGCGTTCGCGCTCTCCCCTGATAACATGTCAAAGGAAAAACCTATCATGGTGATTTAATTCCGGGATGGGAGAAGCAGTTTTTGTGCTCCTCTGCTTCAAGTCTCTGGAAGCAACATATCATGTCCTTATGAGTCTGCTGTAGTAACGGTGAGATGAAACTTGACGCATGGAAGCTTTCCATCCAATTGTGTCACAGTTTCATGGTGCTTCTTTTGATCTACTTCGCCATCAAGTGTACAATAAATGAAAATACACCATGGCTTTGTTGTGTGACGCATTGAATAAATTGATGATTGTGATGCGTGATACATAACTTATGAACGTGTTAATATGGTGGTTGTCTTTATGTTCCAGCTGTTTTCTTGTGTGGCGTCATCAAGACAAATTGGCATTAAAGTTTTTCCTTTTCTCAGGTCCCCGTTGTGCAGCACGGCCCCCTCAAGTTCACCTGATGAGCGCCGTTGCTCGGTGGAATACCAACGGGATCTCAGACGCCGTGTTTGACCTCAGAGGACGGAATCACAGGGCAGCCTCAACACCTGCTGCCGGTGTTACGTCCCTACTGTTTTTTTAAACTACTGGTTTGCCTACACATTTGTGTTCACCTAACCGCGGCAGATGTTGTCTGCTTGTGTCACCTGATTTGTCACACATTCGCAAACAGATTGCTGAGAATGTTCAGAACGAAATACGTTTTCAAGAATGCTGTGCTACGCCGTCGACCACTCAAACCTTGAATGATTCCTCGATGTTTTCCTCATTTGTGAAACGTTGATCACGGCATTGTCCGGCAGCCGCCTCACTGCCTGCCACATTCACTTGTTTCATCTTTAAATGAATGAGGCGATGAAAGTGTGGATCCAGATAACTCTTTGTTAAGCAGCATAAATGCATCCTTTCCTCGCTATACCGCTTCTCCAGATCGTTGATGATCTTTGTCTTCATCTCGGACAGTTGAGCGTGCAGAAGGTGTTTTAAAGGCAGTACAGCCGACGCGGTTGGATATTTGTCAGTTAAAAGTGCTACTGTTGCCACTTTAAAGGGTTAAAGGACCTTCTTGCACCTGCAATAAACTATAAAATTATAACCAGCTTGTAGTGCTGTAAAAGGCCATCATACCTTCCACTTATCTGGTATTTCAGACGGGTAACGCGCCTCCCGACTATACATTAAAAAATAAGGAGTATTTCGTTGTTAACTGCTTTTTTGTTCATAGTCCAAATACAGTTGGCTGTATGAATTTGTCCCAGTCACTTGGGTGGTCCTGCTCAATTTTCTGCACAGCTCTGAAATAACAAAAAGGAAATCAGTCATTCTCCATGGATAGTATATCACAAGCGGTTTTATCTGAATATATTTAGTAGAATAGTCCTATTTTTACCCTTGAATTGTGACATTTAGATTTTCCACCAAGCCATTGGTTTGACGGTGGTAGGGAGCACACAGGCTTCTGGCAATGCCAAGATTTTCACACAATCCTGTGTTTATCTAGAATATGCATAGAGGGGAAAAAACATGGTGCTTTTTCCATTGTTGATGTGACAAAAACAAATACACAAATGTTATGTGTCTCAGAATTAAACTTACTTTGTTGACTAATTCTTTGCCACGGTCGGTCAGGATGCGTTTTGGGGCGCCATACTTGTAAAAGAAATCAATCATGCACAGTGTGACTTCTGCTCCCCTTTGCTTTTAGCGGGTAGACTTCTAGCCACTTTGTAAAGTACTCCACCATCACACATATGTACATATAACCATTGTTGGTGCATTTCAGCTTGCTAACTAGATCCATTCCCACAAGTTCAAAGGGCCTTAGAAGGGGCCTAGATCTGAAAATGCAAACCAAAGCTTAACACCAACAATACTGTACGTGTAAGAGCCTGAAGTGTGTGTATATTGTTTAATTGGACTTTCTTATATTGAGGATATATTATATTGGTATATGTGTTGGCTTGACGCTCCCTTTATTTTCCTGCTTATATTGACGTCATGTTGGCAGCAGGTGCAACTGAGATGAGCTGATTAGGCACGAGTGCAATTTTTTTTCAATACCACAATGAGCCCGAATATCGCTGGCATGAAACCTCACAAAGATGTTCGCTTCTAGTTCAGTAACTATAACTTTGGCAAGATGATGACGCTGCTCAACTTTTTTTTTTTTTTTTTTCTGCGGCACTGGTAATAAAGTTCCCCATCTAGGGATTTATATTACATTTGAAATCAAATTTTAAAAATCGTTAGGAAATGATACCATATAGTTGTATGGGTGGCCTTGCTTATCACTTTGTCTTTTAAGAATGTATTGCTGATTCCGGTTGAAATTAGCAGGATAGTTCTTCACACGTAGCAGTGGAGTAGTGCTCACTTATACAATTGTAATCGCCGCAATGGATATGTGATTCATTCTGAAAGTTATCAGCAATATGTTTGCGATTGTGACGACTCAGGTGACCGAAGCAGACAACATCTGCCGCTGTTAGGTGAGCACAAACATGCACGCGTAGGCAAACCAGTAGGTTTGAAAAAAAACAAAAACAGTAGGGACGTAACACCGGCTTCGGTTCGGAGAGACTGGACGAGGATGTCCGGGGCCCTGCCAATATCCCTCTGACCAGCTGCTGTGGTTGGAATACCTGTTCAGGCAGAGCACGGGTACGGACCCTTCTCTCTGAAGGACACCGTCAATGATGGACCTTGTCCAGAGGAGGCGGTTCAGCATGGGCTGCCCGATCCAGATCCAGGGGCCGACGAGGCGTACCAGAGCGACGGGGAGGCTCGTGCCATCCTGCCGCACATTAACCTCACCAGCAATGAAACCCCAGTGTTCACCCTCCAGCATCTGTGAGTATATGTAAATCTGGTAGAATAAAATATGAGGCATTGATTGCTGGACAATGTGCTCATTATAAGTTTATATGATAGCTTGTCAACACTCCAAAACCTGCTTCGAAAGGCTGGAAAAGTTCTGCTGTGCTATAAATCAGACAAGCTGACTCTTTCCGCTGAGCAGAGGAACGAGGTCCTTGAAGTCTGGAACAAAGTGGAGGAGCACGAGAAGCAGCCGCAGCAGTTCAACCAGCTGTAAAGAACTTACTGGACCATCGGCCTGTACTGCAGCACAAAGAACATCTGGTTGATGCTGCTGTGATCCAGAGGGACGCAGCCCTCCAGGACCCGATTTGGAGGACACATCTGATTCGCCCTTTGCAGCCCAGCATATCCCATCGTGCAGTGCGGGCCGACGAGGATTTAATGTATTCAAGATGGAAGCAGTTCAGCCGACAGCGGGGAAGAGTCCCCCTTAAATGTAACATAATATAACGCACTCGAATATTTACAGATATAAATGTTATATAACATCACATCTTAACATATTGAATTACTAGGTTTTTTTTTTCGCTTTTGTTTTTTTTGGATGAAACCGGTCACAGAGAGCATGTCCTTCTGTAGTTTTTGTGACAGGATGGGCCAATATCCACGGATTGGCATCTTCTGGCGATGGTCCAACGAGGGAATGACCGCTTAGGTTGTTCACCCGCGGCATTTTCAGCTCCAATTTTTTCTCTGAAGCAAGTGCCAAGTTCTCCTTTGTTGGGGGACACAAGCGTCCTTCATTCGGTTGGAAAAACGGTTGTTTGCTTCAATTGTTCATGTGTCTGGCTACAGAAACCTCTGATATTAAGCATGTGGGAAATGCTTTGAAGCTAAGCAGTCCATCAACGTGGTCACTGGCAGACTGCCCACAACAGGAAGTTTACGTAGTAAACTACTCCATGAGTGCAGGAGAAATGCAATATACCACCTGTTAATTAAATAAAAACATAAGCGTATTCAAGATAACTGGAGGTGAGACTTTTTTAATTTTTTTTATCTGTAGCTTCAGAAATAGTTTTGGATAAACCTCTCTGAAGTTCAGAAGCTCTTCCAACTTGTTAATTAAGTGATCCCTCATCACTGACCCCAAGTGCAATGCATTGGTCCTGTAGGTCTTTCTTTTGTGGCTATGAGTTTAAAAAAAAAAAAAAAAAAAAGAGAATTGAGTTCAGTAGATATTAACAACAACAATAACTACCATCAATCTTATAAGTTCATACCTTCTTTGATCCAACAGTGACAATGCGGTCTTCATCCACCTTTCTACCGGACACATTGACATTCTCTTTCCTCCCCCATCCATGGAGCAAGGGTAGAATATTATGTATCTGTTGTTTGAATTGGTTTTTGGTTGATGATCTTGGAGATCATTTTAAACAATAATTGGTATTATGTTTGACATTCAACAATACGATTTTGTTTAGGGGTCGTCGTGGCGCAGGAGTAGAGCAGGTGCGCTGGGAACCACATGGTTGGTGGCTCAAGTCCTGGCTGCCCCATGTTCCACGTCAAAGTGTCCCTGAGCAAGACACCTAAGCCCTAATTGCTTCCTTGGCAAAATGTAAAAGCCATGGGTTAAAAATGTAATGTTAAGGCTGGCGGATGCTTCTGCGTATATACGCACCGTTGCGTCAATGCACTCGTTTCAATTCAGGGTTCTAAAAGGCTTGCGTGTGTTGCAGAGCAATTCACCTCCAGAACAACAGGTGGAGTAACGTGTTTTGTTGAAGACGACCTAGAGAGTCACGTCTTTGTGTGTGGAAGTTGTTGGTTTGTTCATTTATTTAGAGACTTTATTGCCCCGTGCATCGCCACTGCTGCTTTTCATCGCGGACACATTTGTCCCGTATTTTCCTCCACAACTTTGTGCACCTCTCGACCGGCAAACCGGCGTTTGTGGAGATCCCCCTCCATGAATCAGAGGCCATCCGCACGTCCTTATAGGCCGCCAATGACGGCTTGTATTAGCGGTCATGTTTACGCATTACTTCCGACAAAAGCTCTTCAATCTGATCCGTTCTCTCGTAAACATTCTTCGTTTTAATAATGGCGGTATTGTGCTATGAAACCGGAAATGTGAGACTCCGTAAAGGATGTAGTTAGCAGACCAATCGCAGCCTTGTGCGCTGCAGGAGACTTGAAGGTCACTTGCATAGCTTTCGACGCACGCAAGGAGGTGTGAAAAGACACGCAAGGGACTCTTGCGTCTGTGTGTCCTTGCGTCTCTCTGAAAACGCACAAGCATAAACTAGGCTTTAGTAGCTTTGGATAAAAGCATCAGCTAAATAACCTGTAATGTTTAAAAAGGGCGTCCGGAAATAGAATAATGGTCAACGGTATACTGTTTCAATAGTATTTTTGGACCACAAGGACAGTCATGATCCATCGACAAAACCTTCAATGGACATTTCGAGATCATCATTATTTTTTGTTAAGCCATTTGGCTGAAAGCCTTCAGATTTAGCTAACCTGCCGTTCACATCATAGGAAGGGATGATGGGATATGATGGGAACATGTTGATAATCAGAGATGCAGGGCAACGCTAAAACAATATAGGGACATATGCATCGGCCGCGCATGCTAGATAACCTCAACAAATAAAACGATAACCCATTTTCCAGTGACGGCTAGTGGTCGGACGGTTTGGCCCTCTTCAGACTTTGAACAAATACAGAATTCCTTTGTGTTCATTTCTAAAGCCTCACATTTAGACACACATTGCTTTATTTAAGACACTGTGCTACTTGCAGGTCGCTGTGTTGTGCCAGATTCTCAATAAAGTTAGAAAAAACTATTTATGGCAAACCCACGGTTGTGAAGATACTCATTAACATGTCATTTGCATGAGGAGGAGGGGGCGGGTCCATGTTCCTACTGAAAAGAGACACCCAGCGTAACTGAGTTCCTTTGCTCCTTTTGTTTTGTGTGATCATGAACTAACTTTACATTTAGTCTTGTTTTATGGAGCAGCACGAAGCAGCATCAAGCTGAAGGAGGACGACGTTCAAACTCCAACAAATCATCTCTCAGCGAGCAGCCGGCCACCACAAAATGACCTCAGAGAGAAGCAGCAACACCAAAGAGAAGCAGAAACAGTGACCCCAAAGAAAAAATATTTGAGTAATATGAACAAAACTAGCAAGAAATGAACAAAAAGATACCAAATTTGACCGAAAAGATGCATCATATTCAACCAAAAAATGCAAAGTATTTACAAAGCAGCCTAAAAACCAGTACAGAGGTTCAAAATGACAAACAGATATATATATATTTGAAAGTTAGTTGTTGCTGCTTTTTGGATGAAGACAGATACATGACAGGGAGAAGCAGTGAATCAGAGAAATAATCATTGTTTTGCTTCATGCAAGGGTCAAAGAGCGGCTCATTTAGAGAGAGATGGAATCAAGCACAGTCTTATGCTTTGAGCTCCAACTTGTGGTTCTCAAAAATACCCTGAGCTCTCTTGTCTAATAGTTTTTGTCTGTTCTGAATCTTGTGTGTGCATTCATTTATTTTTCATAACCACTTCTATGTGAGTCTAATAATATGTAGGATTCCTTAACAGTAAAACGTTGTGTGTGTCAATGTGCACTTGGCTAAAATAAAGGTGTGTGTAAATAATTGGGCTAAAGCTAGCTGCTAACAGCTAAAGCTCGTTGTGCACACGGTCAAGCGCACCGAACACACCGCTGCTGTCTCCCACTGGAACACGTCGCCCACCAGCGTTCACCAAGACTACTTTCAGTAAGTTCCCTTTGCCTCAAGAATGAGACCATTCTTGTAGGAATAATAGCGTGTACACTATTAAGTTAACAATTCTAACGAAGCCAACTTGTTTTCGTCTATTTAAGGGTCTATTTCACTGCAGCACCTGTTCTTTGATTAAGCTTGCTAACTGTTAGCTAAACTAATGCTAGCTGCTAATTATCATATCAAACTAAACTGTCTTGTTTTTAACTCTGCGTAATGGAAACTGGGTTGTGGCAACACTCTTATTCATCAATGGCTCGTTGGTTTTAACTAGTGAATTAATGAGCTTTGGTCTAAAGTGACTTGAAGCTGAAACCGTCTAGGAAAGCATATACCGATACTCGTATAAAGATAATTGATATATAATTGTGTCTGCTAGCTAGACGTAATATTTATCGACGTTGTAACGTTACCTCGCATTGGACTGACGCGTACCACGTGTCCGGAAGTGAACAAGGAGACGCATTTGCAAACACACGTTTAACGTGAATGTCGCAAACAAAATCGTACCGGTGGTACATTGTCGCTATTTTACACTCTTGTTGTTTTATTTGGGGTTAATAAATTTGTTGTTCAGTCTGCAAACCATCCGTGAGAGTGTCTGTGAGGGGAATGACGTCCTCATCTCCGACGTGATGTCGCTATCGCTTCTCGGCCTTTTGGCTAAGATCAAGTGTAGTATCTGTTCTTATCAGTTTAATATCTGATACGTCCCCTACCCGGGGACCATATATTAAATTGATTTTTGGAATAGGGAGATGGAATAGGGGCTTGCTCCGTCCACTCCACGCATCGACCTGGTATTGCAGTACCTCCAGGAACGGTGCACCCCCCCAAACGTGTCTAAAATAACTTCACCAGTAACAGTGTGCGTTGGTGTGATTGATAGTTGATGCATTGGTAAACTTAAAGGCATCAGGACAGCATCAGGACATCAAAGGTTTTATTAAAGTTGAGACTGCAGAGAATAGATGGAGGAGATTGTTATTACCGGTGTTACGTGCCTACTGGTTTTTGAACCTACTGGTTTGTCTACGCGTGCGTGTTTGTTTTCCCCCTACAGCGGCAGATGTTGTCTGCCTCAGTCACCTGATTCGTCACACATTCGCAAACATATTGCTGAAAATTTTCAAAAATCATCACATATCCATTGCAGCGATTACGATCGTATAAGTGAACACTACGTCACTGCCACGTGTGAAGAAATACATTGAAGAAAATAAATTTATTAAAAGATCGCCGCAACCTGGATTCGATCCCCCGCGAGCAAAATGACAAAACGTTACAAGACGGACGCGCTACGCCGTCGGCCACTCGAGCTCACTAGTATCGCCGCTGTTTCCTGTACTTCTCATCACGTTGGACAGACAGCAGTGGCTAGAAAACTATTTGGTTCAGAGGGAACCAAGACAACTGGTTTTGGTGGCGTATCGTTCAACACTCCCAAACATGTGTATCGATACTTTTTCGCGAGGCTGCAGCTTTCCACCACCGACACATTTGGACAAAAGGGGGGATTCTGTTCGGACGGTCATTGTGCATCACAGCCACTTAAGAAAGTCATTTAAGAAAATATAGATTAAAATATATTTTAATGAAAGATCGCCACAACCTGGATTCGAACCGTGTCGAACAAAACAACAATGTTTTGGGACGTTTGCTCTAAGCAGTCGGCCACTCGAACTTGATAATTGATGTTGAAAATTACCTTATTATTTTATTAAATTGTATACAGTTGTAAACCTCTTGGTTCAAGGTGAAGCAAGACAACTGGTTTTGATGGGGTGTTGTGGAACACTTCTAAACATGTGTGTTGGTGCTTTTTTGCGACGCTTGATACAGTTATTTACACATTACATCCACACCGTTAAAAAAGTGCTTTACAGACGTGAAATCCGAAAATACACCTGGGATTAAGCAATCACGTTAATTAGCAACATCAGTATGAAGGGAGAATTGCAAAGTTGGTGCGACCTCTGCTCAGTAGAAATATATCTCGAAAAGCTATAGAACAAAAAGAGCACCGATGGACCCTCCCAAAGTGAACGATTTTTTTTGTCATATGCATTTAGATGTTATTGAGAAAGTAATTATACTTGTGTGCTAGAAAACCTGACAGAACTATGTAGAGAATGTGGGGATGCACAGCAAAGTCCAGGGACAAAGGTCATAGGCAAGATTAAACTGACAGTTCTGTAATCTTACAAATATAATA